TTTCCTCCTTTTCGTAGAACCCCTCCACCGGCCAATCCAGAATTACAATTGGCCAAGGACAAGAGTACAATTTCAGAAGACACCATTACCAAACCAAAGAGCACTGTAAACGCAGGTACTTCCAATCCCAACATGAATAAAGGTCCAACTATGAGACCCGCCAACCCCTATGCAAAACCAGGAGGTGATAAGTGCTACCGTTGTGGGGGCCAAGGCCACAGATCGAACGTGTGTCCTTTTCGTCGAACAGCCGCAGTAGTGGAGGAGATGGCTGCTTTCATTAAGGAGCATGAGGATACTGAGGATGGCGATGAGTATGCAGGTGTGGAATTCGCCGAAGAAGAATCGGAGGAAGCCGTGAATATTGTCTTACGCAGGATTTTATTGGCATCATCGGATGAAGGACAACGTAAGAATCTTTTCAGGACCCATTGCTCTATTAACAACAAGGTTTGCAACCTTATAGTAGATAATGGGAGCACGGAGAATTTAGTTTCTCAAAAGCTGGTCGCGTACTTGGAGTTACCAACTGAACCCCATCCAAAGCCATATGCTCTTGGCTGGGTAAGCAAAGGACCACAAGTCAAGGTAATCCATACCTGCAAGATCCCCATTTCAATAGGAAAGTACTACCGAGAAGAAGTAGTATGTGATGTGTTGAACATGGATGTCTGCCACGTACTTCTGGGGTGTCCTTGGCAATTCGACAATGACATCACCTATAGGGGCAAAGATAATGTGATGATGTTCACATGGAGAACGCACAGGATAGCTATGGCGCCAATAGCGGGGTTCGCCAAACAGCCTGGCAAGACAAGGTCGAGCTTCCTCTCATTATCATGGGATGAAAATGAGTTACAGGAGGACATTCGCGACGCTGATTAGGTTTGCCCAGTCGTAGTTAAAGGCCTGCTTAGCTTGTCCTCACATGGGGATTCTACTATTCCACAAGTTGTGCAGGAGATCCTAGAAAGTTTTGGAGAGCTCATATCTGATGATTTGCCCAACGCCTTACCGCCAATGCACGACATTCAACATTAATCGATCTAATCCCGGGTTCCAACTTACCGAACTTACCACATTACCGCATGAGTCCCGAGGAGAATGCAATACTACGGGAACAAGTAGAAGATCTCTTGAAAAAGGGGTTCATTCGGGAAAGCATGAGCCCATGTGCTGTACCGGTACTCTTGGTACCAAAGAAAGGGAACCAATGTCGGATGTGTGTAGACAGCCTCGCCATTAACAAGATAACGATCAAGTACAGGTTCCCCATTCCCTGACTGGAGGATATGCTCGATGAGTTGTCTGGATCGCAAGTATTTTCAAAAATTGATCTTCGCAGTGGCTATCACCAGATTCGGATCCGTCCTGGAGATGAGTGGAAGACTGCCTTCAAGAGCAAGGATGGCCTCTATGAGTGGTTAGTCATGCCCTTCGGCTTGTCTAACGCACCGAGCACTTTCATGCGCCTAATGAATCAGGTTCTCCGTCCTTTTATTGGGTCGTTTGTGGTCGTCTACTTCGACGATATTTTGATCTACAGCAAGACCAAGGAAGCTCATTTGGATCATCTACAGCAAGTCCTCCAAGTATTGCAGGATAACAAGTTATACATCAACCTAAAGAAGTGCACCTTCTACATCGACAAGTTATTATTCTTGGGCTTTGTTGTGAGTGCATCCGGAGTACAAGTGGATGAGGAAAAGGTGAGTGCTATTAAGAATTGGCCCACGCCTACTACAGTATCGGACGTTCGAAGCTTCCACGGACTCGCCACTTTCTATAGGCGTTTCATCCGCGACTTTAGCACTATCACCGCTCCTATCACGAAGTGTTTGAAGAAAGGAAAGTTTAGCTGGGGAATTGAACAGGAGCGTAGCTTTTCAACGATCAAGGAAAAGTTGTGCACTGCCCCTGTGCTCCCCCTACCCGACTTTGACAAGGTGTTTCAGGTCGAATGTGATGCTAGCGGGATGGGAGTGGGTGCTGTCTTATCACAAGAAAAGCGACCTGTTGCATTCTTTAGCGAAAAGCTGAGCAAAGCTCGCCAAAAGTGGAGCACCTACGACCAAGAGTTCTATGCTGTCTTCCGAGCCTTACGACAGTGGGAGCATTATTTGATACAACGAGAGTTTATTTTGTTCACTGACCATCTTGCGTTGAAATTTCTTAACAGCCAAAAGGTCATCAACAAAATGCATGCTCGTTGGGTCAGTTATCTGCAGAAATTACCTTTTATTATTCAGCACAAATCGGGCGTCCAGAACAAAGTCGATGATGCTTTGAGCCAACGAGCTTCTTTACTAGTCGTTTTGGCACAGGAGATTATTGGTTTCGACTTGCTGAAGGAGCAGTATGCATCCGACCCCGACTTTGCTGACTTATGGCTTGCGTGTACCACCCAGCACCCTACTGCCGATTATCATGTTCGAGATGGTTATTTTTTCAAAGGAGATCGGCTGTGCATTCCTAGCTCGTCGTTACGCGAACAATTCATTCGGGATTTGCATGGTGGCGGTCTCAGCGGTCACTTAGGCCGTGACAAGACAATTTCCAGCCTGGAAGAACGATTTTTTTGGCCTCATTTGCGTCGCGATGTTGGTATGATTGTCAAACTCTGTTATGTGTGCCAAGTTTCTAAGGGACAGTCTCAAAACACTGGCCTCTATCTCCCGCTCCCCGTCCCTGATGATATTTGGCTCGACCTTTCGATGGACTTCGTGTTGGGGTTGCCCCGTACGCAGCGAGGCGTGGACTCTGTCTTCGTGGTGGTCGACCGTTTCTCTAAGATGTCCCATTTTATCGCCTGTAAGAAGACCGCTGATGCTTCGAACATCGCCAAGTTGTTTTTTAAGGAAATTTTGCGTCTACATGGTGTGCCCAAGTCCATCACTTCCGATCGGGACACCAAATTCCTCAGCCATTTTTGGATCACATTATGGCGCCTTTATGGAACCTCTCTCAATCGCAGTTCCACCGCCCACCTGCAGACTGATGGTCAAACCGAAGTCACCAATCGCACTTTGGGTAACATGATTCGGAGTATTTGTGGTGACAAACCGCGGTAGTGGGATCTCGCGTTGCCTCAAATTGAGTTCGCTTATAACAGCGCGGTGCATACGGCAATAGGCAAATTGCCTTTCTCCCTCGTCTATACCACTCCCCCTCGGCATGTTGTCGATCTCGTGGACCTTCCTAAAGCTCCTGGTGTGCACGCTGCTGCGGAGACCATGGCCCGGGAAGCCCAGGCCACGAAGGATGCTGTCAAGGCGAAGCTCATTGCGACGGGTGAGAAGAACAAAGTTGCCGCTGATGCTCATCGTCGAGTTAAGCTTTTTGACGTAGGGGACAAGGTGATGGTGTTTTTACGGAAGGAGCGTTTTCCTGTTGGTACCTACTCCAAGCTCCAGCCTCGCAAGTATGGTCCTTTCCAGGTGTTGAAGAAAATTAATGATAATGCCTACGTCATTGATCTGCCGGCGGACATGAATATATCTCGCACGTTCAACTTCAACGTTGCTGACATCTATGCTTTCCACGCTGACGATGCAATTTATCCAGTTGTGAACTCCGGGTCGAGTTCTTTCGAGGTGGGGGAGACTGATGCAGGGCAGCTAGCGTACAAGATTGAGGCGGCAATCCAAGTGGAGAAAGAGCTGGCACGAGACTAATCTGCATGTGTGCATGACATTTACCTTTTCTTTGTTTATTTTGTATTATTTCTTTTCTTTGTCTACAAGAGATTTTGTTAGGATTATAGGTCTATTTAAGCTTGTGTTTACGATGGGAAGACTACATTATTATTCTTGAATACAAACTCCAAGGGAGTGCTTATTTCCAGTGGATTTCTGGTGTTGATTTCAGCAAGCTTGCGGCTGGCAAGTTTGGCACTTTCGTTTGGGTTCGACGCTAGCGAACCTGAGGGCTTCTGACTGCGTCAGATGTGCTTCATAGTTTCTACCTAATGTCAGGTTTGAAGTGCAATCCGGAAAAATGTGAGATCTATTTTGGAGGAGAGGCTATTGCTTTCAAGGCAAATGCACTGGCCATTACAGGGTTTAAGGAAGGGGTTCTCCCGGTCCGTTACCTTGGTCCGCCGCTTATGTCTGGAAAGGTTAGCTCTGCAGATTGGGATATGTTGCTGGATAGAATCACTCTGAAAATCAGGTCATGGTGAGCAAAAAAGTTATCATATGCTGGGCGCTTACAGTTGGTATCGTCAGTCCTCATGGGGGTCATCCAGTTCTGGTTCCAATTATTTGTCTTCCCGAAGAAGGTCCTGCACCAGCTTCAGAAGCTATGCTTAGACTTCCTCTGGCATGGGGAGGATACATGCAGGGCGAAGGTGGCTTGGGAAAGGCTTGCTTATCCTAAGAATGAAGGAGGTCTAGGCTTGCGGGATCTTGTATCATGGAACAAAGCATGTACTGCCAGAATGCTTTGGATTCTAATGATGCAAACCGGGGCCTTGTGGGTAGCCTGGATGCTTGCATATCGATGTAAGGGGAAGGATGTGTGGCTCATGACGATTAACCCTTCGAGCTCGTGGGCGTGGAGGCGAATCCTAATGCCCTGTTCACTTCCCATTTCATTTTCTGTTTTCTGTTTAAAAAATGATAATTAGAAAACAAATGACATTTAAAGGTGTTCACTTGACCATTTCATTTTCCCTGAAAAAACCCAATTATTACAAATAAGAAAGCTTTAGGAAAACGATTAATACCTGTTTTCCGAAAACAATGACACGGGTTATGCCCCCGTTTCTCAGCGGAAAACACACTAATCCATTCAATCGGCCCGTGTTCGATTCACCAAATCGCTCTTTTTTTACCCCTTTTCCTGGCCGCGGGGTTTTTACTTTCTCCCTTGGTATAAACCCCAATCTCCTACTTACAGACTATTCATTGAAGCAGAGCAAGAGGGAAAACTGAAGAACACTGACAGACCAAACAAAAATGGTGGGTTCAATGATTTCCACTGCGATCTCCGTCGGACCTTGGAATTCGGCTTTAGCAGCTTGTATCCGACCCGACCCGGTTGTCCCATTTCGCTGCAGAACCATCGCCTTCTCCAACTCCTCATCTCCCTTATCCACAACAGCATTCTTCCATCTGCAGCATTCCGCGGCTCGCCCGATCAATAATCTCAGACTCAGTCCCAGACATTCCCATTATCTGAAAGCTTCTTCATCTGCAGGTAATTGTGTTCAAGATTATTTCCCCAATTCTTCATTATGATGTTCATGCATGGCCGGATTCTCCATTTCCTTTCGTTGTTTTCTTGGGATTCTAGAGAATAAGTGATAAGTTTTTTTTGGTTTTGGGGGGATTTTTGCTCAAAAGCTTGAATCTTTTCGTGTATGCATGCATGAATTTGGCAATGTGTGTCAAGCAAGAGCATCATGTAGGCCGGACGCCAGATACAGAATTTTTGTGCTTGGATGTCCTCGATCTGAATGTCATTCCTGTGAAAATTGTTGGACGATATGTGGGTGGTGTCACGGATCATCAACCGGTATAGGGTGTCGAGAACCGGTTCTGGTTCGTTGCAGTAACTCAAGAATGAATCATACATTCTTTTCCTTTTGCATGTTTCTCTAATTGAAAGCCTGCAAATGTGTTTGAAACTTCAAATCAAGCACCGATGTTGGAAGTTAGGATTCGAATCACATGACCAGTCATCAAAGGCTTTGATACAATGTTGAGAACCAATTTGTTCCGGTCACTGCAAGACTTGCTGAATGTTAGCCAAAATAGAATATGTTTCATTTCATCTCATAATGCTATGCACAAGTAGTTATCCTCTTTGTGAATCCTGTCCTTCCAGTGTTCCTGCAAGCCATTGTTTTCCTTTAATAGCTTGCTTGGGATGCTGTGAAATCTTAATAGTATTGACAGCACGAATGTTGAGATTATTAACCAATATTGAAGTTCCATTTTGTCACTCACATGTCTCTCTGGATCCTCTGGTGAGGATTATCGGAATCTAATGGCTTGTGGTGATTCTTGGATCACAACATTGCATGCTCTTCTTTCGTGGATTTTACAAGAGACGGCTGTTTAAAGCCCTGGCTACTGTCCTATTGTATCCCCCAGTCTGATCTGTTTTTCTTTTGGGACTGCCTCACAGCTGGAACTACAGAATACTTGGAGGAACCTGCAACCAATGTGAAATTCCCGAAGTCCTTGAAAGTGCCAGGTTGCACATCAAGCTCGCTATCCTTGCTCGGAACTGGTCAGTACAATTAGAGTTATTGTTATCTGTTCTAGAAATTTTATTTTCCATTTGTCCGTCGTGGCAAGAATCGATCAATTGCCTCTTCATCATATATTGGAAACTCCCCAAGCTAGTTAGAAGCACCGTTTGCGCTGCTGCTTAATTTAGTTAAAGCTCGATAAATGCATGATGAGCTCTCTGCAGAACTGAATTTTAGAACTTAGTTTCTGAAAAAACTGACAGCTCTATAACAATATGTCGTTCTTTTGGAGTTTTGAAAGCTAGATTTCCCATTTTGAAGCATATGCCTCCTTTCGCTCTCAAGAAACAAGCACACATTGTTCTTGCATGTTGTGTTATACATAACTTTATTAGGATCCACTCTGGTGACGACACTCTGTTTGAAGGTGCTCAAAATTATTGCACGGGGGAGAATGCCAATGGAGTGCAAGGAGGACAAGAACGAGAAGCATATAATCATAGTTCAAGCCAAACTCGAGCGATGGATGCACGACGAGATGGAATAGCAAACAAGTTGTGGGATGACTTTCAAGCTGGACTTATTTGAATTTTTATGTTGTACTAGTACTTAATTAATATAAGATGTTGTACTTGTATTGTGTTTATTAGTTTAAAAACTATTTAATTCGAATTAAAAATTATAACCATGGCTAGGGTTGTATGATAATCAAGAATCAGAAAACAGAATGAAGCAACTAAACAAGTTTTCTTTTCAGAACTCAGTTTCAGAACTCACCAAAATTCTCAGCTAAACAAGGTTTTTTCAGGTTTTGTTTTCCAGGAAATGGTCAGCTTCGTTTTCATTTTAATTTTGTTTTCTGTTGTGGCAGCTAACAGAAATGGAATGGCAAGTAAACGGCCCATAAATTTTAGGGATTCTGTACAACCGTTTATGAGGAGGCAAGGGGAGGAGGGTCTTTGGAATGGGAAGCTGATGCCTCGTTACTCAGTTAGGACTGTCTGGGAGACTCTTCGATCGTCGCAGTGTAAGCAGCACTGGTCTGCGCTTCTGTGGGGTAAGTACTCTGTACCACGATGGAGTTTCATTACATGGCTTGTCATTATGGATGCGATTGTAACTAGAACAAAGTTGGTACGTTGGGAAAAGGTGATTGATGATAGTTGTGTTGTGTGCTGCGAGTAGTGAAACTCGGGAGCTTTTATTTTTTGACTGTTGTTTCTTGAAGAGCTTAGTTCATAGTGTGGGAAGTTTGTTTAGTAGCAGTTCGTGGGAGCTTAGACTCTCAGATGCAGGTGTGGTCGCAAAGCGGGGCACGACATTGGGAAGGCTCATAGGTCCGATTTGGTGCTCTCTTATTACCTTCATCTGGCAGGAAAGGTGTCGGAGAGTTCATGGTGACGTCCCTAGAACGGCGGAAGTAGTGCAGGAGTTATGGAGGAGAGATTTTCTTTACTTTGTTTCCTTATATCCAGTATTAGAAGATGATTGTAAAACTATAAACCTGGTTGGGTAGTCATAGTGGGGGGAGGTTTTCTATACTTTCTTGTTTTGTTAATAAAATGGGAACTCATTCAACGAAAAAAAACTGAAATAATTAACAGCAATTAGCCAAAATGACCGATGAAGCACGGCCTCACGGCCAAACAAACATTACCCCCTGCCGCCATGTTAATCAAATTATTATGGTGACGGATGCATTACTCAACAGCGACGATTGACAATTTGACTAGAGATTTAGGGTTTCTAATTATAATTATTAATAATAGCACCGTCATTGTCTTCGTCATTTCACCGCTACTTTACCAAATTCTATTTTCCTTCTCTTTGGCAACCCATTTATACAATTGTTTAGGGTTTCTAAATTCTAATTCTAATTAATAATAATAAACAGTTTTCTTACCTCGTTTTTCTCATTAACATAAACTATAATTGATCCTTTCTTTCCACATTCAAAAAGGCAGAGTTGGCTGGCATGATGGCTCTCAATATGGTATATTTTATTTGTAACATCCCGTTCCGGCAAAACCCATATTTCGATCGCTAGAAAGTTCGCGATTTAAAATCGAGTGTTTTGACAATATTTCGGCGAAAATCGGATTATCAATCGATCGGATAAGTATACATATTAATTATATATATATACAGTCCATTTAAATCCCCACCCGTCCATTTAATTCTCAATATCATCGCCCTTTTTCCATTTCTCCACCGAGAGGCAAAAACCAGAGCGAGCGGAGAGAGCGTACAGGGGAACGTCGGGGGAAAAACTCCAAGGCTCGATTCTTGAGCATAAGTGATCCAAAAATCCCGTAAGTAATGCCTAATTCATCCGTTCATCGTGATTTATCGATTTAGAGCTTTAAAACGAGTTTTTGGTTCAGGAATTTCTCGAATTCCCGATAAGTCAAATTAGGGTTTCGGAGTATCCGGAAGTCGGATTAAGCCCAGATTTCATATACGAGCTTCCTGCAGCGAGGTAATCAATCCTCTAGTTCTAATCCCTGAATTTCGGCAATTATTTAGGTCGGGGTCCTAATCGCTGAATTTAGCTCCGGCCAGGGTTTGATGTGTTTTTATCAAGAATTTGACCCGGAGCCTAGAACTAATATTGACGGGGATACTGCAGGGGATATTAGGAGGGTCTCGGATTTTAATTCGGGGTTCGTTCGTGAAATTGACGTTTTAGTACGGGAAGGTTAAACCGGTGTTTGAACGACCAGAACTGGTGAGGGATTAGCACGGCATACCGGGTTTGTCGTATCACGATAATTATATTGATGCCTAGAATTGATCTAGGTGAACTAGAATGGCATGATTAGGGGTGTATGAACTTTTGTGCTATATGTTGAACCCTGGACTGCTGTATGATATTATTGACTTGCCCTAATTGATATGGACCTTGTTTATGCTGATGATTGTGTATATGTTACAAATTGTGGGCTAGACTGTTAATATGCTTTATGATGGTTCGAGAAGGTGATTGTGTATGATTTTTCATGATTGTTGTATTTGGATACATATGTGGGAAAATATATATTCCCTGGTGATATTATGATGTTTAAGGAGGATGACTTGCACGAGGGTTTATCCCGAGGAAGTGCAATTATACGACTCCTGATTTACCTATGTTGAGCCAATTGTGGCCAGGTCAAGTTCATGTACAAGTAACGAATTATGAGTAAGCAAGATGAGATATGGATCATGTATAAGATTAGCAAATAAGAGTGATTTGGTCTCATGGTCAATTACATAGTAATTAGGGCTCCCCATGCTATTACTCCGTTATGATATGTTATGTCACACCCCTGATGTGGTGTTGACCGTTGATTCATCATGAGATATGACCACACCCAGAGTGGTGTTGAGTCCGATATGACCACACCCATAGTGGTGTCAGGTCCGATATGACTACACCGGCAGTGGTGGGTCCGATATGACCACATCCACGAGATGTTTGGTCCGTATTCCCGGGAGAGTAATTAGCATGGGAGTAGCCAGGCGCCTATAAGTAAAACATGATAAGACACACATGCATAAGTCAAGGTGGTTGAGTCTTTTGCCCATTGGGACATGAGGATGGCTGAGGTCCGATCCTAGTGTTTTGGCTTGTTTGCTAGATGTATGGTAGGGGTATGCTCTGTTATGAACTCACGATGCTATGATTATCTCACTCAGCTATGAGCTGACCCTCTTTATCCTTTTTCTCTGCTTATGCTATGTGTAAGTAGATCATCCGCAGCAGCAGTAGATAGGTGTTAGGTGGGAGAGGAGCTAGAGTTGAAGTCAGGATGAGGTATGGTCTTCAACTATTCTGTGCTTGGACTACTACTCGGGATTTTGGCCAGTGAACCACACCTTTTTGTAAAAAGGTTTTGAGAACGTTTTTCATGTGCATACTAGCTTCTGATGTAGTGTGAGATATCCACAGGTGTGGAAAGTTGATGATATGTGTATATTTGTGTAATTATGTAAGTTGTGACGATTATGGCATGTATCAGTATGGTATGCAGTTGTGTAGCATGAAACTGTGACTATGGCTATGAAAAGCCAATGCATATGGCTGTGAGTGTATATGTGTGTCTATGAATGCATGGATTTAGATGAATTATTTTGCAGGATTAGATGCAATGCATATTAGCTTCTGATGTAGTGTGAGTATATATGTTTGTGATGAATTATTTTGCAGGATAAGTTGCAAGAACTGCTAGCCCATTACGCGAGTAATTCATGTCGAAATTTTATTTGGGTAAATTTTGATAATTAATGTAACACCCGAGATTATTTCCGCTGCAATTGTATGAACAATATGATTAGGTAATACGTATAGGGTAGGGTGTTACATTATTAATGGAAAAATATACCTATATATGCACGTTAGTGCCATAAATATTAAAGAAACATTGTTGTTGGGACTTAAGAGTATACATAATTGGACCACACGACTCACATGTAACACTAATTACTAATTAGTATAAATTTAATTCATACTCACCGTCACAGAAATCAAAAGCTATCCGCCAGCAGCCAATCAAAATGAACCCCTCTATGGAGATTGGATGATCGCCAAACGCAAACCCCGACCCCAGAAGAAGGACCAAGGAGTGAATGTGAGCCTCAAGGGAACCAAAACCGGTCAGGGTACACACCAGAACGCCGGGGGCTCACGTTTTGCTGCCCTTGAGGAGGAAGAGGAAACACAAACGGGTACTGAGCATGTGGACACTACTAGTGAGACCAGCAACCGAATGCACCAACAGTCGGGACATAATAAGAGTAAGAACAAAGGCTCAAAACAGTCACTGCTAGCGAGAAAAGAGAAGGAAAGCCCTCCTCCCAGGGAGCCTCATGCTACGCCTTCCATTGTGTGCAATATCAATGAAGGGACTGGAAAAGTCACAGACACCCAGACTGTCCAGCGTAAGTCAGGGGAAAAGGCTGACCAACCGACCCAGATAGCCGTTGAGCCATCCCTGTCGAACCTAGAGCGGGAAGGTGGGAATGGCAACTCTCGGGTGACAGTGACCTCCAAGACTG